AGGCGAGGCGGGTGGATCACGAGGGCAAGAGTTCAAGATCAGCCTGGCCAAGATGGTGAAACTCCATCTCTACTAAAATACAAAAAAAATTAACTGGGTGTGGTATCGGATGCCCGTAATCCCAGCTACTCGAGAGGTTGAGACAGAGAATTGCCTGAACTTGGGAGGCAGAGGTTGCAGTGAGCCAAGGTCGCGCCACTGCACTCCAGCCTGGGAGAAGAAATGAGACTCCGTCTCAGAAAAAATAAAAAAGAAAGAAAGAGAAAAGCAAAAAGCAGAGGAGTACTGAGGTGTGGGAAAGAAGTAGAGGCAAGTTTCGTTGCCAGCCTTTTTGCTTCATTATTCAATCTTATGGAGTACCAGTCTCCATAAGATTCGGAGTGGCAGGCAGCCTCACTGAACAGATAACAGAATTTGTCATTTGCAGTGGCCGCATGATTTTTAGGTCTAAATGCCTTTCTTTCAATGTGGACTCTGTGTTGCTAGCTGCTAGCTCATGCAAATCGGGCCTCCATATGGAGGGACTGGGCCCTATTTTGCATGTAATGCACACATACACCTTTGTTTGACATAGGTTAGCTTGAAAACTGCCCAGCTCCACCTAGCTACAGGGGTCTCAGTGCATGTGTGAAGTTGGTCCTTCATTACGCGGCAACCTCCCACCTGGTTGCCCCCTTTCTAAGAGATCATTCCCAGGACACTTCAGCCCTCCAAGACCAGGGACTGTGTCTCTCATCTTTGCCACCCTTGTACCCAGCACCCAGAACTTATCTTGCTTATTAAATGCAATGAGCATTTAATAAGCAAGACAAGTTCAATATCTGAACCCCGCCTTGTTCTGATCTTTCAGAAGCCTCTGCCCCTCTTGCATGGAGTTCATTAAATTCGTTCTTGTCTTCTGAACCCCACGCCCCGTTTTAACCTCTTTCACACACTGACTCTGTATCTCTGCCCCTCAGCGCCAAGCCCTGGGCCTGGTCAATTGCAGCACTCTGCAAACGGCGATTCCAGAGCTAATGCCCAGCTTTCAAAACGCTGGGTGCAAATTCTCTGCTTCTGTGAACTCTCAACAAAGAGACGTGTTGCTTTTTGGCAAAGGAGGTTGGCAGGAAGCTTGGGGAAAGAAGTCTCCCTCTGGCCCCCAACTTCCCTGAACCTTCCTCTGCCCCATCTCTGCTTCTGGAATATTCTGGATTTGGAGAATATCAGTTACACATGAAGGGAGACATGAGAGAACCAAGCGGGTGGACAGACAAGCAGAAATCTGTCTCTGCAAAGGCAAGGTCTAGAGTCTCTCTGAACCCTCAGGGCAAACCCCGCAGACCTTCCTGTATCTCCATCCTCCCTGGATGGTCTCAGCAGCCGGGACCTCCTCCTCCCCATGCACACTGCCCAGCGCCTCCTCCTCCCAGTGCTGGACTCCACCCATCCAGCCACATTTGCTGCTGTGGAAATTTCCCCCATCCAAATTCTACTCTGGCCCCAACTATCCTGACCACAAAGAAAGAGTGAGCTCCGCGTGGAACCAGCTGAGCCTGCTTTGCAGAAGACAGACCTTGCCTACTTAGCAGGAGGGCAGAAGCGACCTCCTCGAAGGCCCGAGTGGCCTCAGGTGCTCGTTGTGAGGGAGCAAACGGTCAGGACCTCGGTGGCATCCTCCTTCTCTCTCAAGGACAGGAGGGTGACCATCTGGGCTTTGGCCAGAGTTCCACGGAGGAAGCCCCAGCCTTTTCTCTCCAGCAGCCATGCTGTTATCAAAACCAGGAGAGGGAATTTGAATAAAAAGGAGAGGGGAGAGAGAGTCGCCTCCCTACTGCGGTTTCCAGGCGACACGTCGTCTGTTGCGGTCGCTGTCATACAAACCCTTTCCCCGTAAGACGGCAGGTCCCACGGGGAGAAGGGGTGAAGAGGAATATTTTATCAGCCGTGTACATATGTAACCAGAAATGGGGCTGAAAAGCAAAACCTCGTTTCCCTGAATAGGGGGAAGGAGGAAGGGGGTGGGGACGCTAGCGGAGGTGGCAGAAGGGACTTATCTCTAGGAGGTCAACAGCGGGAACATGCGGTGACTGATTTCCACCCTCTGTCTTGTCAATGCAGGGAGCATCTGCACAGAGGGCTGTTTGGGGCACAAAGTTTAAAAGGCATCTTGTTTTTGTATTTAGCTATAAGAACCCAATATACATATCATAGGTGAAAGACATAATAAATATTCTAAAACCATGCCAGAATGGGGTGGTTGAGTCTTTAGAGAATGGGATGTGCATTTCTAATTCATGGGCTACTTCGTTGCTCCTTTGGGGAAGAAACCCGAAGCAGTGGGAGGCCTGCCTTCCTCCGCGTTGAAGTCTCAAGTGCATTCTACAAAATGGGGCAGTGTGGCACTGGCTGGAGAAAGCCCTGCTTCCCCGTCCAGGTCCAAGAAGCCTGGAGGCCTGGTCAGCATTGAATGTCCAAGCGTGCAGGGCAGAAGAGATGATTTCATCTCTACTCTGCAAAAGGCAGCTGCCTCGCCCCTTCCCCACTGAGCACTGTCCTGGGAGGACCTCAGCAATGAGTGAAAAGAAAAAAAATGGTGATGAAACACTAGCTCTGCCCAAGAGTTTAGTGTGAATGCCACCAACCCTGCAGAGAGTCACCAGCCCGCTTGCCTGGGGACAGTGACCACTCACAAGGTACTAAGTGAAGGGGCTGCTTTATTTTTTATTTTTCTTGAGATGGAGCCTCGCTCTGTGGCGAGGCTGGAGTGCAAGGGCTCACTGTAACCTCTGCCTCCCGGATTCAAGCAATTCTCCTGCCTCAGCCTCTGGAGTAGCTGGTACACACCAACATGCCCAGCTAACTTTTGTATTTTTGGTAGAGACAGGGTTTCACCATGTTGGCCAGGATGGTCTTGATCTTTTGACCTCATGATCCGCCTGCCTCGTCCTCCTAAAGTGCTGGGATTACAGGTGTGAGCCACGGCGCCCGGCCAGAAGACTGGTTTATTTATGCCGTTTTGTTTATTGTGCTGGTTGGGGAAGTCTAGCGGGAGAAGGTGAAGCCACGTGTTCTCTGGGAGGCATTTTTCTGGTGACGGGTCTGTAAGCCCATTTCCCAAGAACATGGCATGAAAATAATCAGATATGAAGACAGGAAGCCATCCTCCAACCGCTCCAACCAAATGCTTGGGTGGGGCTCCTGTTACTACCGGCTCATTCAGAAGTTTGGGAGGTAAGGAAATAAAAAAGTTAAGCAAAGAGGAATGGAGACAGCACAAGAGGGAGAGAAGAGGAGAAAGAGAGAGAGAGGTGAGAAACACAAGAACCCATCTGGACCATGCATCACATTGAAATTGCCCTGCATTAAAAATTCACCAGCCAGTGAATTTTCAAGGGATTTGTAGTAATTAGATGACAAAATGCTGGCAAATCTCAGGCTTGCCAAAGATGTTACTCAGGGGTCAAAGACTCGACACTTTCGGCTGGGTAATTTGTAAGTGTCAATCACTCACAGCCATCAGAGAGGAGGCAGCGATCTAACGGCTGCATTCTAACTAAGTCAGGCGAGCCGCCGCCGGCCGGCTGCCAGCAAGCCCCCAGACCCCGAGGCCTGCCGCTCTGTGCCCTGCTTCCGGCTCAGGCACAGACAGCGGCTGCAGCCTCGCCAGGGACTCAGAGCCAGGCGGGCCAACCCAGGTTTCCAACTTCCAGTTTGATTTGATCTCCCTTTAATCTTTTTCGAAAGCTGCGGAGGCTTGTCAGGAGTCGAACTGCCCACCTTCGTGGAGGACAAAGCTCCCCGTCCTGCTGGTGCCACTGAAGAGTGACATGGGGCTCTCTGCACTTGTGCAGAGTGGCCATCAGCGTCAAGGAGACTCAATTCTCCTGCTTCGACCTGCGTGATACTCAGCCGCTGGGACCTCAGTCTTCTGATCTGTGTAGTGGGGATAAGATGATTTACCTTGAAGGGTGGTGATGACTAGGAGAGAGCCCACAGCTCTCTGCCTATGAACTCCTTCACTCCATATCCATGTGCCTTTGTCCCGGTGCTGTTCTGGGCACTGGGGACTCAACAAAGACTGAGATAACACGCCCCCTTCTCATGGAACATTCTAGTTGGGGGAGGGCGGAGAAGCAGGCAATAAACAAATAAAGTATGTCTGAGGATGGGCCAGGTATGGTGGCTCATGCCTGTAATCTCAGCACTTTGGGAAGTCAAGGTGGGCAGATCCCTAGGTCAGGAGTTCGAGACCAGCCAGGCCAATATGGTGAAACCCCATCTCTATAAAAATACAAAAATTAGCCAGGCATGGTGGCGTTCACCTGTAGTCTCAGTTACTAGGGAGGCTGAGGCAGGAGAATTGCTTGAACCTGGCAGGTGGAGGTTGTAATGAGCTGAGATTGCACCGCTGTACTCCAGCCTGGGTGACAGAGCGAGACTCCATCTCAAATACAAAACAAAACAAACAAACAAAACAAACAAAGGGCATGTCAGAAGAGAATAAGTGCTAGGAAGAAAATCAAACGATTTGGGGACAGAGCACGTCAGGGGCGTTACTTTACACAGGATGGAAGGGAAGGCCTCTCCGATGAGGCCACATCTGAACAGAGACCTAGAGAAAAGAAGGGGACAGCAGAGAGCATAAGGGACTGCAGGGTGGCCCTAGTGGCTCCGGCGGAGCAGATGATTCTAATCGCAATGAGAATTATGACCATGAGGCTGGAGACCCCTGGACAGAGGCAGCAGGGACACGGTGGCAGCTTGGCTCCAGAAGCCTTTGACACTGTGAGGCTCCAGGAAGCTGGACTCGTGTTGCCCAGCCTGATGGCCACCGGCAACCCAGATTCCAGAGCCCCATGAGTGCAGAGAAACATCCGAGATGCCCACGTGTGGTGCTTGACCCTGCCTGTGGGCCAGGGCTGACGCCGGCGGGAGGGTCTCATTCCAGCTGCTCTCACTGATTGAAAGAGAGCTGCAAAGGGGGCGGGTGAGCCTGAAGGTAAATTGACACTGTCACCGCTGCAGCCGGCTGGGACTGCCTGGATCCCAGACCGGAAGCTGTTTGCAAGATGATGGCCCGTTTTCTCCCTCGCTGCCCTGGCCCATCAGGGTATGTTCTGGAAAGAGCACTGACTTCAGAGGGGGGAATGAGGGTGGATGGGCCTGAAGCCTGAGGCCCGAGTCTGTTGTTTCTGTGCTGTGTGACCCTGGCAAGTCACCACACCTCTTTGAGCCTCACTTGCTGCACCTAAAAAATGGGCATAGGAGCCTCTCTCACATGGTTATGGACTGGCATTGTTAATGGGCAGCTGGGGCAGGGCAGATGCTCAAGGGTAGCACTTCCAAACCCCCATAACGAAAAATGATCCATACCCCCGACTATCACCATCAAAGCAAGAATTCTACAGCACACCTTAGGGAAATGAACCAGGGGGCAAATTGCTGCTCTAAAGACAAAGAGCAGCAACAGGAGGCCTTTGTGCAGTTTGCTGTTCAGTACGCAAAATATCCGTCCCAAAGTGGCATCTCTGCGTGGTGTCTTTTTTTGTATTTGGAGAACTTGTCTTGGGGTCAGGGCCAGTGATTGTAAATCACATTCTCCTCTGAGCTTTTCCTGGCCATTTCATATTTTGTGTGTGTGTGGTGGGGGCAGGGCACAGTGTGGGGTATACTTGCTTCCCCTCACCCGCCTCCTTCTCGGGCCCAGGTCTCCATCCCAGCCAGCCTTTGCTGCAGGTTTAACTGGGCTGTGAAACTACTCAAGGGGAAAATGAGAAACTACCCAGTGTTTCACGGGAGGCAGCGGGCTGGGCCTTCTGAACTCCGATGGCAAACCCTCTCCAGCCGCCAGCCGCGGATGCAGAGAGCCCCTGGATGCCCTCCGAACAGGGGGCAAGTGTCCCCTGCCCCCACTGAATCCTGGTGGTGCTTCCCCACATCAGGAAGGCGACGAGACCCACTTGAGATGCAAATAAAAATTAGCAGCGGTGGCAAGCTGGCCTGTCTATTCCCCACGGCCCCTCAGGAATATCGCTCGTCTTTGCAGTTTAGATGGGGAAATTTCTAGCTGACCCGGCATCTGCTTAAGAATCGATGGGACCGGGAATAGGGATGCAAATAACAAGAACAGGCACCACTCCAGTGGTGGCCGTTTATTGAGCACTTACTACTATGTGCAGGCCGTGTGTTGAGAGGCCCTGGACGAGATTCCTCCCAGTCATCCTCAAGGCATCGGTAGCATGACTGTCACCTCACTGGCAAGGCCATGCCTGGGCCCCAAGTGAAGGCGCTCCCCGACTGCTGTGGTGCCCCCCCTTGCTCTGATGACATTGCAGCCCCCTCTGCCTGACATTACATTCTGACTTGCTGAATGTCTGTCTCCGGGAGTGAGATGTGAGTTTCAGGGGGGCGGGGCTTTGGGTCTGTTCTCTTCACCGTGGTATCCCTAGTGCCTAGATCAGGGCTTAGCACTTAGGTGGCTTTCGATACACATTTAGCCAAATAAGTGGATGCCCACTTTACAGAGACAGAACGGGGGCCACAAGGATCCTAGAGGCAGGTGGGCAGGTGGGCAGGGTTGGATCTTGGCCACAGTGCAGGGGCTCTGGGCCACACCCTGGTTCTTGGCCTTCTGCTCACCTATTCCCCGACATGTCCTTTAGCATTTGATCGGGAGAGGGTACACTAACCCAATGCCCTGTTTCCTCACAGTTCAAAGCGTTCCCCTCTGGCTGACTCACACCTTCCAGCAAAGGGCCCAGTGTCTCCACAAGCTGGGAGGTAATGCCCAGAGTATGCCTCTGAAGCTCCTCTCTTGATGGGCTCTGACTTCCACAGGCTGAGTGGGGCCGATGCAGGCGCAGGAGGGACCAGCCCAAAGCCACGGCATGTTGCGGTCAAGGGTGTGGACCCTGGAGCCAGATTCCCTGACTTCTAAGCCTGGTCCTGCCACTGAGAAGCTGTGTGGTCTTGAGCACTCCACCACACCTCTCTGTGCCCCGTTTCTTTGTCTGGAAAAGGGAAGAACACTACTATCTGTTTCAAAGCTAATGAGTTCTTCACCCAGAGGACTTAGAACAGGGTCAGTGCTCATGGAATTCATGATCCAGAAGGACTGGATCTCACACATGCTAGAGTGAAATGGAACACAGTGCACTTGGGGTGTTTTTTTTCCAGTGGGAGAAATGCCGCTTGTGTATTAGGGCAGGGAAACTGAGGCTGATCAGATCTGAGCTGTCCCCAGCCTGACTGTGTGCCCCAAACACTGCTCCATCCGAGTCCCAACACAACTGTCTCATTTTCCTGGGGCCACTCCGGGGGTAACACCCAGCCCACTGTCAGCAGTGGCCTCGGGGAAGCCCCAGTGCCTCCTCCCCCTTGGGCCCCTCTGCACAAGACTTGACGTCATGTTCAAGACATCCTGGCTGGAGGCATCGAAGCTGACACAGCTTGTCTGTGATGAAGGCGGACAACCTGCTCACCTGCCTCCCTGGTTACAAAGTCTGCTGGGTTTTGCCAGTCACAGTGGCTCATGCCTGTATTCCCAGCACTTTGGGAGGCCGAGGCAGGTGATCACTTGAGGACAGGGTTTCAAGACCAGCCTCGCCAATGTGGTAAGACCCTGTCTCTAATAAAAATACAACAACAACAAAATTAGCCAGGCATGATGGTGCATTCCCAGCTACTCCAGAGGCTGAGGCACAACGATTGCTTGAACCCGGGAGGCAGGGGTTGCAGTGAGCTGAGATAGAAACACTGCACTCTAGCCAGGGCAACAGAACGAGACTCCATCTCAAAAACAAAAAAACCCCAATCTGCTGGTTTTAAAACTACATTTTATGCCATCTCACATATAAACAGGCAGTTGGGGGGGTCCCTGTAGGGCCCTGAATCCATATCCTGGCTACTGTTTGGATGAGTAAAGGCAGTGCCTGGTGCTTTCTGAAGGCCAAGGCTAAGCTCGGGATGACAGCAGAACCGTGTGTCCGCGGCTTGCTGACCCTTCCACGTGCGGGTGCACATACGAACACACACGTCCAACAGGCCCTCGGCATTCTCGGTCCTCCATAATCACCAGAACTGTCTGCTCCCCCACCAGCCTGGGGCTCCCTCTGTGGCCAGGGACTGTGTTCACCCTCTTCCCCGTGGACGCTAAGGCCAGGCCCAGCAGGAAAGGTGCTAGTCAATGTCTAGTCAATGTCTGTTCTGACGCATGCACAAATGCACCGGGTTGTCTGTCGCCGCCTTCAGCTGGGGGTCCAGTGTTGGGGCTGGAAGTCAGAGACACCCAGCAGGAATGCCACGTCAGCTTATTCCAAGCCGTGTGGTGCTGAGAAGCCCCTGGAGCAGCCCTGAACCTCAGCCTCCTCAACTGTAAAATGGGGAGACTGCAGTACCCATGGAGCTGTGGGGAAGATTTGGTCATGGGGCCATGGATTCAGTTTATCATTCAGTCCGCAGGGTCTTGAATTTAGGTCTCCAAGAAGGCTGGCTACTGTCTTTAAGACACAATCCCCACCCTGAGAACCTGTCAAATATGTGACCGGATGGACGCAGCATCTCCTAATTTGAGCCCCACATTTCTCCTATCCCTACTCTGGGCTGACCACATCCCTGGCAGAAGGGAATCTTCGGAAGGCAGAGAAGCTGTCCTCTCCTGGAACCAGGCTGTGGCAGGCAAGATGAGTGGGAGCATGCAGCCGCTTCTGGGAACCGATTGCGTCCTAACGGCTAGGGACAGTGGCACCAGGACAGCGCTGCACTAGGAAAATAAAGGATTCTGTATGATTGATTCTCTGCAAATCCCCCCATTAGCTCCTGCTAAAACCCCAACCGTCCTTCTGGCGCCTAAGGGAAGGGGGAAGTTCTGTTGGCCACCAGCAGCCTGCAGCTGCAGGCTGGGAGATGTGCAGTTTCCAGAGCGTTCCATTACTTTTTCCAGTGGGCAGGGGGGCATGCCTGTATGTGAGACGTTAGGTGCAGACTGACCTAGCCGGCTGAGGGGTACAGTGCTGGGTGGGGAGCACAGACCCCAGAGTGGGGCCGCCTGGTTCTAAGCCTGGCTCAACCATGAGCTGTGTGGTCTTGAGCAAGTGACGAGCCCTTTCTGGGCTCCTGCTTTCTCACGGGAGGTAAGGGTGGCAATAACAGTACCCATCGTGTGGGATGGCATGAGGGCTGAGTTAACCCATAGCTAGGGCAATATGATAATCACTCCTCAGGATAGTGGAGGCACCAAAACTCCAGTGGGGGAGACTGAGGGAAGGAGGAAAGTGGCCCTCGTCCAAGACCCACGGTGCAGGGGACTTTCTACATCTCATTTCAGTCTCCTGACCTCACCCTACAGATGGGGACATGGCCCAGGGAGGCACAGTGCTTGCCTGAGTCACACAGCTGGGAGGTGACACACTCAGGCATGCTCAGCTAATCCTTGGCGGTGAGTGTTCCTCTCATACCCGTTTTACAGAGGAGGAAACTGAGGCACAGAACAGCCAGGTAACCCTCCTGAGGTCACAGAGCTTGTAAGCAGTAGAGCCGGATTTTCATCCAGCACGCCGGCTGGTTCCCATGAAACTGTCCACAATTCAGACTTCCAGCTGATTTTGGTGAGATTGAGCCTGTTGGTCACAGAAGTGCTCAGAACAAGGCTGGGTGCCACCTTTGACTCTCAGGGCCCCAAGTTCTCAGGGTGCTCTCTCTCCTGGAGCATGCCTTGGGGGTCTCACCTCTCCTGGAGCACTGTGCCCAGGCAACTCATCTCTCCTGGGATCCCAGTCGGACCCCACAACTGCAGAGAGAAACACTGGCTGTCGGCCAGGATGGAGAAGAGATCCACAGGGTTCACGTTCCTGATGCCAGCCAGACACCAGGGTGGGCATCAGACACCCCTGAAAAGGTTGCAGCCCTTTCTCAGTCCTACCTGGGGCTGACAGCTTCTACCCTGAGGAAGCCCACCAAACCCTGGCCCCTAGTCACACTGCGGGGTTTTTTGAAGCATTCCTGTGGGCTGCACATGCTCTGTGCTGGGGCTCAGTGCCTGCTGCCTGTGAGGGGACCCCGGCTGCCCAGGCTGTTTGGCAGCCCCTCCCGCAGTGAGCAGGCGACCACGGCCACCTTGCTGCCTGTGGCTTTGCTGCTGGGTTTTCCAATTCTGGTCACATCATGCCCACACCTGCCCGCTGCCACTCTCCTTCCCCAGACCCAGTTTGGGGTGAAAGCCTTGCTTATTAGTCAATCTGGATCTCACTGTGAATTACCAGGCCTCATTGATATTCATGAGTGGACACGTCTGAAACCTCAGTCAGCTGCCACGTGACTCCCTGCCTCGAGGAGGAGGCCAGTCTGAAGACAGGGGCACCTGCACAGCCCTGACCCAAGGCTTCGGTCCCCAAATGGGGACAGGTCCGTGTCCTGGGGGCAGCCTCCAGCTGATGGCGCTCCATCCTGGAACTGGAGGTGCCAGCAGGGCTTTCTATCCGGGGCAGGTGATGGAGAAGAGGGGCTGGGGGCTGGGGTTGGAGGGGAGCAGGCAGCCAGGCACTCAGGTCCTGCCACTGCACCTTTGCCCAGGGCGCTCCTCCCCCCGGAACCTCCTCTTCCCTTTGCTCAGCTGCCTCCTACTCTCCCTTGGCTGGAAAGTGACTTCCTAGAGAAACCTGCTCTCACCAATCTGAAGGAGGCACCCCAGCAATGTTCTCTCCTGGCACATGGCGCCGTCCCAGCACCCACATTACACAGGTGTCACCAGTTGTCATTTTGGGTCTGGGTGCGTGGGGATGACTCCCTCGGGGGCCTGGATGTGGATCCTGGGCTTACCAACCAGGGCCTGGCACCGGGCAGCATTTAGCAAAAGTCAGTGGAATAAACGGTTTTAGCGTTTCCTGCAAACTAGGCACTCTGTGGTGGCTCATCACTCATGTCCTGGGTCTTCCTAACACCGCTGGGGAGGAATGGCCACATCATCCCTGTTTTCAGATGAGGAAGCAGATGCAGAGAGGCAGGAATTGGGAAGGAGAATCCTGGCCGGGGCAACTGTCCAGTCTGTGCGTCCAGAATAGAGGGAGGAGCTTGACTCTCACTCCTAAGGGACTGGGTTGGGTTTCTTTTTTTCTTTCTGTCTTTTTTTTTTTTTTTTTTTGAGACAGAGTCCCACTGTGTCACCCAGGCTGGAGTGCAGTGGTGCAATCTCAGCTCACTGCAACCTCCACCTCCTGGGTTCAAGTGATTCTCTGCCTCAACCTCCCGAGTAGTTGGGATTACGGGAACCCACCACCACATCCAGCCAGTTTTTGTATTTTAAGTAGAGATGGAGTTTTCCCATTTTGGCCAGGCTGGTCTTGAACTCCCGACCTCAGGTCATCTGCCCGCCTCAGCCTCTCAAAGTGCTAGGGTTACAGGCATGAGCCATCATGCCTGGCCAGGGCCTGGGTTTCTTGGAAGCATGGGAATCGCATCTTGAGGGGCCAATGGCTTCCGCTCCAGAAGCCAGGACTCTCATGCAAGATGCAATAAAGTAAAAAGAGAGCAGTCAACTCAGAAAACACAAACGCTGGCTGCACCCCTTCCCATCCCCCAACCTGCCTCGTTTTGAAAACTGCTTTACTGAATCGGTTGGGTGGAGGGTCGGGGGGTAGGTATGAATACACAATTCTTCTAAGTAGATCACCCACCTAACCGGAGAGAAGAGAGACTGAAGAATTGTGACTGCTTTTCAGACACCAGGAAGGTAAAAATCTGGGCTTCTCTGGGTAGGAACAAGGACGAGTTGGTTTTTCATCTCCCTCCAGAAATGAGGTCGCCTCAGCTGGGTGTCGAGGCAGGGTGGTGCAGCTCGCCCTGATTCAGGGCTCCACAGCCAGGGCAGGGAGAGAACAGATTGGGCTTCGTGGGGTGAGTGAGGATGTTGTTTTTGCAGAGGTGGTGAAGGGCCACATGGTTATCTACAAAAGAAACCGGAAGGGCCACTATAGGAATGCCTTCCCTGGGAGTGTGGGCTGCGGTGGGGGGGATGTCCCTGAGTGTCGAGGTGTGGAGGGAGAGAAGGTGGCGACATCACAGGCAGCTGGACTTTGCCACTCTCCTGCTCTTGGACCTTCAGGGGCTCTCCGCTGCCCTCAGGGTAAGTCAACCCCTCAGAGTAGCCACTCCTCACCTCCTGGGACACCGTTTAGAAGCCACCTCTTTTGGGACGCTCTCCCCATCCTTCCTTTGGACACGTTCCCCACTTCTCCCTTGGCATCATGACCACCTGTTACTTGGCCATCTCCCCAACAGACTGTGAACTTTCATCGCAGCAGTGAGCCTACTGTGTTGTATGTTTGTTTTTGAGACAGACTCTTGCTCTGTCACCCAGGCTAGAGCGCGGTGGTGCCATCTCAGCTCATTGCAACCCCCATCTCTCGAGTTCAAGAGATTCTCGTGCCCCAGCCTCCCAAGCAGCTGGGACTACAGGCACCTGCCTCCATGCCCGGCTAATTTTTTGTATTTTTAGTAGAGACGTGGTTTTGCCCTGTTGGCCAGGCCGGTCTTGAACTCTTGACCTCAAGTGATTCGCCCGCCTCAACCTCCCAAAGTGTTGGGATTATAGGCATGAGCCACTGCACCCAGCTAATTTTTGTATTTTTAGTAAAGATGGGTTTCACCACGTTGGCCAGACTGGTCTCAAACTCCTGACCTCAAGTGATCTGCTCGCCTCGGCCTCCCGAAGTGCTGAGATTACAGGTGTGAGCCACCAAGCCTGGCCAACGCTGCTGTGTTGATTGATGGATCCCCGGCCACCAGTTCAGGGCTGGTCAATAGGAGGTGCTCATTCAATGCTTGTAGAGCAAGGAAAGGGGACTCAGACAGTCTGCAGAGGGTTGAATGGTGACCTCTCCCCAGAATATATGTCCACCTGGAACCTGCAAATATGACCTTATTTGGGAAAAAAGAGTCTTTGTACATATAACTAAGGATCTTGAGATTAGGGGTGGGCCATAAATTCAATGCCAAGTGTCCTTAGTAGAAACACCATTTCCCAGCTTCTCCTGCAGCTAGGTTAAACCAGGTGACCATATTCTGGCCAAAGTGACATAAGAATGCCCAGGCTGTGTCCCTGAAGGGCAGGGCAAGCCCTCTATTTCCTCCCCACTCCTGGTGGCTGGATGGTGGCAGCACAGTGGGGTGCTGTCTGGACCGTGGAGGCATGGCAGAGTGAGTTCAGATGGGCTGGGCCCCTGCTGCTCGCCGTCAGACCAGGCCTGCTCACCTTCCAACTGTCAGGTGACACAGAAACCACCTCCATCTCATTTAAACCCACTGATGTCTGGGTCTGTGACAGCAACCAACACATTCCCTGACCTATGAACACAGCTGGCTGTCCCCTAGCACTGGGGTAGCGACTGTTCTTCGGTTGAGCACTGGGTGAAGTTGTTGACTTGTGTGCAGGGTCCACAAAATACCTCGCAGCTCATAAGAGATTGCAGCGAGATGCTGACACTATGAGGATTAGGCACCTGAGCCCAAGAATATACAATCCTGGGAGGTGGAGGGGTTCAGGGCTCCGGACTCCCTCCTTCAGCCCGCATCTCAGCACCTCTGGGGAATGCAGTCTGAGAACCGTTCAGAGGACGCAGGGTTTCTTGCTATCCCTCGTGCAGGGTGCCACGTAGCCAGCTTCCTCTCCTCTTCTGCAAAGCCGAAAGGGAAGGGAGGAGGGGCTTGGACTGTGGAGCCGCTGCCTGGGCCTTCTCTCTGGAACACTGGCCATGGCTGCTCCCCCACTTTCCTGGAGACTCAGTTTTCTCATCTGTGCGATGGCAGAGACAGCCCCTGCCTAGTGACCCAGCTCCCACCCGTGAACGTGCTTTGTAAACTGCAGGCGTACAAGGCGGCAGCGATGTTATCACCTGGAATCTTTTTCAGGAGCAGGAGAAGGGAGAGGCTCCTGACAGTTCCAGGAAAGGTGGGAGCAGCTGCTATCTGGAAATCTGCACAGCAAAATGTCTGCTGTTGGCCTGAGCCCAAGGGTGGGACACGGTGGCCCCAGTGGACGGCTCCGTGAAATCTGCAATTATGGGGAAGTGGGGTTTATTAAGGAAGCTGGAGGGGAATGCAGCCCTGGCTTCTGGCAGTGCTATAATTAGATTGAGGGGCCCCTCCTGGGGCTTGTGCTGAAGTACCCCGGCCTCCTGGGTGGCAGGTGATGGGCCAATCCTGTCGGGGTGCAGGAGGACACTGCCTTCATGTTGGGGGGACGGGGTAACAACAGCTGAGGCTTGTGTAGTGCTCATATGCGGCTGGGACCATTCTCAGCCCTCACCTCATCCCCGCATCCGCAGGAGTCTGTCTGTCTGTCCTGCTGTCAGTTCACAGGTGAGAACACCCAGGCACAGAGAGGCCAGGAGCTTACTCAAGGTCACACTGTGGGTAAGTCAGTGGCAAAGTAGTAAAGAAGGGACAGAAACGATCAAAATTCAAAATCAGGGGTTGGCAAACCACAGCCCATTTTATTTTAAGTTTTGCTGCTACTGTTGGCTGGTGTTGGGAATAAAGTTTTACTTGGCACACGTGCTGGAGGCAGCACGCAGAGGTGAAAGCCAGGATGGGGAATTCTGCCACTGTGTGATCTTGTAGAAACCACTCTTGGGCTTTCTAACCTGTACAATTGCGGGGGTTTGGTTTAGATCAGGGGTTACCACACTTGATGCAAAGGGCCAGATTGTAAATATTTTTGGCTTTGCATGTCATAAGGTCTCTGCTGCTACTCAACTCTGCTACATGCAGCAACTACTGACAGTATACAAACCAACAGGCATGGCTGTATTCCAATAAAACTTTATTTACAAAACCAGTCAATAGCAGCAAACAAACAAACAAAATGGGTCATGGTTGCCAACCCCCGATTTCAATCGTTCATATTCCTTCTTTACTACTTTGCCTTATGAAATTCATATTTTTAATATTTTTCTTTATATCAATTCACTAGTATTCCTTAGAACTTAGCAAAATCATAGGTTTGATGGCCTAAAAAAATATAGGTTTGAATTTGTGGCATACATGTGAAAATAAACTTGTAAGTTAAAAATTAAAAAGAAAAGCGTGTGGGCCACCTAAACCATCTCCTGAAGCACACAGGTCCATGCTCCGTGATTTGAGAACATTTTTTAATTGTTTTTCAGACTGCTGAGGTGATGCCTGGGAGGAAGAGCCTGGGGGAGAGGAGGCGCCTGGGGGGGGGGAGGAGCCTGGGGGGGGAGGTCAGGCCCTGTACCCTGACTTGGAACAAAGCAGTTCTCGCTTAATCTGTTTAAGACGTTTGTTTGAGAAATGGGTTCTGGAGCCAAAAGAGTTTGGAGCCATCTAGAAGTGGCTTCAAAATGAAGTTGAGGCCAGTGCAGTGGCTCACGCCTGTAATCTCAGCACTTTGGGAGGCCGAGGTGGGAGGATCACCTGAGGTCAGGAGTTCAAGACCAGTCTGGCCAACATGGCAAAACCTCATCTCTACTAAAAACACAGTACTTAGCCAGGTGTCGCGGTGCGTGCTTGTAATCTCAGCTACTTGGGATGCTGAGGTGGAAGGATTGCTTGAAGTGAGAGAGGTGAGAGCTACAATGAGCTAAGATTGCACCACTGCACTCCAGCCTAGGAAACAGAGCAAGACTCCATCTCAAAAAAAAAAAAAAAAAAAAAATTAACATGAAATTTTGGAGCTATGAGCTAGGATTTCCCATGTCTATATACATGGGGCTGTTAGTTCTCATCTGACTCTTAGATTTTTATTTTTTCCTTTTTTTTTGGAGACAGCATCTCACTCCATCGCCCAGGCTGGAGTGCAGTGCTATGATCATGGCTCACTGTGGCCTCGCTCTCCTGAGCTCAGGTGATCTTCCCACCTCAGCCTCCTGAGTATCTGGGACCATTAGCCCACACCACCATAGCCGGCTAATTTTAAAAATTATTTGTAGAGATGGAGGTCTCCCTATGTTGCCCAGGCTGGTCTCAAACTCCTGACCTCAAAGCTATCCTCCTGTCTCAGTCTCCCAAAGTGCTGGGATTACAGGAGTAAAGCACCGAGGCTGGCCCTTCTTAGATTTCTTAACCAAAGGAGGAGAATTTCCCATTATACCCCGTCCAACCCTCTCCTCAACCTGAGACACACATCCTTTGGTGTGATCTTTACCTCTTAGCAACAGCTAACCGAGTTTAAAGCCAGTTCCTGCCCCGCTCCAAGCCGGCTCCTCCTGCAATGGTCTCAGCACCAGCTTCCTTCTTCCCACTGCCTAGGCTGTGAGCGCGCACCTTGGTTGTGCATACCCCACAGCCAAGCCTTCAGGCCACTGGCTGCATCTTCAATCTGTCTACCGGAAAGGGCCACCTCAGCCCTCCACGGACACCTCTCCGCTCTGAGTCAACCCCGTCTCTCCTGCTCACTGCAATGGCTTCTGAACACCTATCCCTGTTTTGGTTCTTGTCCTGCTGTTGATTGTCAACATGGTGGCAGACTGGGGCAGCTCTGCTGCCCTCCACAGACCCAGACTTGATACCCAAGCCTGAGCGGGGTTGGCAGCCCTCTGTCCATTCTCCCTGGCTTTGTCTGTGGTTTGGGCTGGCCCTCTCTTCCTCTCTTCAGCATACAGATCTGTCCCCTTCCTCCTGGCTCTGCTCACATGCCACCTCCTCAGGAGCCCTTCCTTGGGCCTGCCAGGCATCCTCAGAGAGAACAGAGCCTCAGCAGTGCCAGGAAAGCAATCCTCTGCCCACTTGGGGCTGGGTCTCCCCACATTTGGCCACCAGCTGCTCGAGGCCAGGGAGTCTTATCTGCTGTGTCCACTCCTGCACCTCCAGCATCATGGCCATGCCTGGTACACACGAGCTCAACACACATCTGCTGGGTGTTTTAGGTCTGAACCTCTCCCTTGGGCTCTGGGGCTGTGTGAGTCCCAGAGGATGAAGCTGAGGTATCAGTCCTTGGAAGCTGACAGTCCTGAAGGTGGTCTCAGGGCTGCCCCCATCGCCCCACTCTTTACCCTGGAACCCTATGATGCCTGGGCAATGCCTGGCACTGTCAGTCCACAGCCATAATGAGCTACAATGCATGCCCACTGGCCCGGCACTGATGGCATTTGATGATATTAAAAAACAAACCAAAAAGCACACTGGGGGTGCTGTGGCAGGAAGGAGCTGAATAGGAGCACCTCATCGGGGGTGAGGAGAGAGAGGCCTCCATCCACGCTGCCTTGAGGACAGGGCTCGAGATGGCACACAGTGGGCCTGCCCCCGCTGTAAAGTGGAGACAGTATCCCAGGCCCTGGTGCAGGAACGAGAGCGCGGGGTGAGCCTCTGAAGCCCAGCGTAGGGGCCCGGCCCCCTGCCTGTGGGAACTGCCCTCACTGCTCTGGGGAGGAAGGGCTTGGGCTTGTGCCAGAAGGAGCTGAGCATGAGGCTGATGGCAGCCCTCTGTGCAGTGCTGTCTTGGGAATGCCACCCACCTCTCTGTTTCCGCATCTCCCATAAACTTACCTCTCACAGTTGCTAAAAGGACAAAGTTGGGGCCACTGATGCCTTCACCAAGTGTTTACTAAGCATCTACTACATGATGCACAAAACAGGGACTGACCCTGCTCTCCTGGGGTTTACGGTCCAGAGAGAGAAAGGTCAGACATGAAATAAACACACAGAAACGATTCACAGCTGTAAGGAGCTAGGGAGACAACTGGTGTGATGAGTGCATCTGACACGAGGCCTGGGCTTGTCTGGGATGGGGCCTGGGAAAGTCATGTAGGCAAGGTGCCTACTTCAACAGCCCAGGCGGCATGGGTGAATAAATTATTATTACGCAAGTATTCTATTAATCTTTTATTATTGGGACGGCTGGAAAAAAACGATGACATATTATGAGTGAAGCTCAGCGGAAGAGCAGTGGGTGGAAAGCTCTAAGCCGAGAGGCCGCCTTCCCAGGGTGGGAAGAGGTGCTACATTTCCGCAAGGTGTACCAAAGGGTTAAAGTCATTTTCATTAAAATTTAAATTTCAGCAGACGCTCACTCTCCCTTCCCCGTCCTTTGAACGTTTGACTGGCAACCATTTCATATTTCAATCTCGGCAGAACAAATTGAATTAGATGTTGAAACCAAGCTCGGCTCTGTTCACCAAAGCCTGCATGCTCTGCTCACACTAATCCTTTCCTAGACGCTGTGGAGCACAGACGGGCGCTGTGAGAGGCGGCCCTGCACAAAAGACAAAAAAGACCACGGCGGCAGGGAATGGAGAGGAGAAAAAACAAGCCGGCAGAGGCCGCTGGAAATTGTCTTCCACCTGATGCATGGGGCTTAAAGCCTAGGAGACCAAGCCTGCACCCACCCCTCAGGGAAGGCCAGCGCGGAGGCACACGGGGTGACCCGGGTTTCTGTCCTGTGTCTGGAGTACCCAGCACAGAGCCTTGCACATGGCAGATGCCCAGCAGGTGTCTGATGGACGAAATGAATGAACAAGTGAATGAATGAATGCGGGAGAGGACTTACTCTACCAGCCCGTGCCTCTGGCCTGTGCCCGTTTCTCCCCTTTGCAGAGTGGCCCCAGCTAGTCTCCTCACCCCCACAACTTCCCAAGAAGTGACAGCATGCTGAGCTCAGTGGCCTCAGGCCCTCCAGTCCCTGTGCCCAGTGCAAACCAGTGGAGGATGGCAGCTCATTTCTGGGGAGAAAGGCAGACCTCCGGGCCTGCTCTGGGATCCACTGGCACCCCAGGATAACCCCATGTTCACTGGTTCTTTCTTTAAACTGTGTAAGTCTGAGGACTGGCCTAGTGGCGCTGACCCAGGGGTCCTGGAGTCTGGTTTTCAGAAGAGACAGCTCTGCTACTGTGGCCGTGGAGTCCACACCCACGTGGGACGGACCCCCAGTTGAAAGGGTTAGGTGAGTGCGGTGGCTCACGCCTGTAATTCCAGAACTTTGGGAGGCTGAGGTGGGTGGAACATTTGAGGTCGGGAGTTCAAGACCAACCTGGCCCACATGATGAAACCCCTTCTGTACTAAAAATAAAATAAATTAGCTGGGCGTGGTGGTGTGCACCTGTAATCCCAGCTACTTGGGAGGCTGAGGCGGGAGAATTGCTTGAGGTGGGGAGGTAAGCCCAGATCATGCCACTGCACTCCAGCCTGGGCAATAGAGTGAGACTTTGTCTAAAAAAAAAGAAAAAGGGTTAGGAACAGACACACAGAACAACAGACCGACAGCTGCTCCTGGGGGTTCTCACCTGTTTTCCAACAGCCATTGGCCCATCTGGGCTTAAACTTTGGTTCCGTGCAGGAATAGCCAGGAATACAATGTGCTGGTCCGCCCACTGCAGCCAGAGGGCACGGGGGCACCTCCCCCAGGCTCCTTCCTGGATCACAGGCTCCTCCTCAACATGGCGCAGTGCCCTGTGAGTCTCCATCCCACCCCTGCCTCTGGATGTGGGCCCAGCTGGCCTGACATCTGCTGGGTGCAGCCCCATAAGCTTGCTTTGTTTTGAAGTTATGTTCACAATAATGATGGCAACTACCATCACTAAGCACTCACTAGGCATGACACAGTCTGCTAACTACTTCCATTCATGACCTTCTATTCCTGCCTTAACCCATCCAATGCGGCAGGAATTCCTGGACCCATTTGAAAGACCTGGAACACAAGGCACAGAGACACTGAGAGCCTAGAGATTCCAACGCGGGCCTTGGGAGTCGGGGCCTGTGCATTCCGCTCTCCTCCTCCCGTCCCCACTGCCCCTCACTCCTGTCCCTCCTCCCATCCCTACTGCCCCTCACTCCTGTCTCTCCTCCTGTCCCCACTGCCCCTCACTCCTGTCCCTCCTCCCATCCCCACT